TTGATGAACAAACCTCACTTATCACACAGGTATTTTCTTTAATTCACTTTGAAGAGAAGAGTGCAGAGCAGAACACTTCATTACTCATTTTATTTCTGAGTAAATAAAAGCTACAAGCAAAGAGAAATTTAATTTGGTTTCAGTTTTACTCTTTGTATGTAATCTTAATAATATTAACCTAGGAAATTGAATTTCTTTTAAAGATAGTTGCAATAAGCTGAAACATGCTAAGGACAAGGTACTGAACTGAAACCCTGATAGCCAGGTAGTTTCGGTGCGAGTCTGAGCATGGAAAGTTCTGAGGTTTTCTTCATTTCATTGCAGAGGCTATTAAGTAATATTTTTGATAGTAGACATATACGCAGGTACCTGTATGATACCTAGATTTTCCTTAAAATATATATATATAAGTAATGAAATCACAGGAACTTGGACTGAGATTGTCCATCAGAAGTTTGTTATGGCAGGCAAATGCTCCCAGGCAAAAACACTGAAAGTTGTACTTGGATAGACTTAAAGAAAAAAATTGTGCTTTTCCTTCTGCTGACAACTAAGCATTAAGACTGAACCCAACACTTCAGCTGTTCAGTTACCTTTTGTTGAGCGATGTTTTTCTAGCTCAACACTCTTTAAAATACATATATATTAATTGAAACGGTATATTACTAATCCTAAATCAAAATCTTGACAGAAAACAGCTGCAGCTGATGGTATCTAGCCAAAGTAATATGTGTAAAAACCCATTACAATATCAGCTGTGTGCCATTTCACTGCAGGTTACTTAAAGATCAAACTGATATGTGTACATACTTGACCATACAGGGTTTTTCAATTGTTCTTTTCAAAGAGAATACGTGGCATTGCAGGTCTCCTAGGAAGACAGCTATTTAAAAAGACATTTCTGCTTGTTATCACTGCCTTCTCAAAGGACAGATGCACTGGGTAGCTGAAAGTCAAGCAATAATCAGAAACAGAAAACATCAGTCTGAAATTTATGGCATCCCTATGAATGAGGTATTTTATATGTGTCTTTGTGAGAACAATTAATGGACTGTTTTAGCAGAGTAATACTAACATCTCTAACTTTTTCTCTTAAGATCAAGCCACAGGAAAATCAGGGGATAACGTACCTACTAGGAGCATCCCTTGCTGATTACTATCCCTTCCTAAATATGGCAGTACTAAAACCTCTTAAAATAGGAGCGAGGAAGCACATAATTAATATAATAAAGGCAAAAAGAAAGATATATGGTACACACAGATGATTAACAGAGGAACTCAGTGCAGTTTGGCCATCTGTTTCCTGTTACAAACTTATTTTTTTCCAGCATTACTGGCTACAAGGGTAACACAAAAGAAGACTGGTGAGACCATGAAAAATTATGACTGTGTCAGGACAACATTTTGTTTACTCTACAGCTGGTGCAGTGGGACCAGACACATAAGAAACACAAATAGTGTTTAGGTCTGCATTTGGGACATCAAGCTAGCTCCCTGCATAACAACCTACTAGAACAACAACAGTTGTTCACTTACCAGGACCACAATGTCCAGTCACCTTGTTTAGGGAATTCCAGGCTCTATTAATTCTATACCGCTTATGTGTATGGAAATATTTAACAAGTTAACATGCCTAAAAATTAATATAATTGAACTCACATTCCTATAGAGATGTACATGGCACAGAGTGGCAATTTAATGTGTGGTAACTTAGCTATTATCAGCTGTTGAAAATACTCCTCCTTTTTATGCTTTTTTCATCTGCTTTTCTTTAGTTTTCAATAAACAAAACATCAGGTTTTACTATTCATAGTAAGGTAACTCCATCCTTCGACAAGAGGAAGATTCTGTTCTCCTGAGAAGAAACCTGAGCTCATTGATGCCAAGAGTGACAAGGTCACAAAGCCGTATTACAAATGGGATGCAGACTCACTATCCTGTAGGATATCAAGATGATGGATATTATGAGATGCCATCAAAATATCTCTGATCATGGGAAATAAAAAGTCTGTCACAAACGCACTTTCTATAGTTCGGCTCATCCAGGAAAAATGGGATCTCTTGATGTGTCTAAACACAGCACCAGTTTGCTGGGTTTCTCTCTTGCTTCTATGAAGCTTTTCTTCCTGTGAAGCCTTGTTCTGTGTGAGGCAGCAGACATAAAATAATTTATTTATGTTACAAATAAGCAGCATCTGCAGGAAACTGTAATTAATATGAAAACAGGTACTGGGAAAAAATGGAAGGGAAAAAAAACCCCAGAACAAACAAGCAAAAACCAACACAAAAAACCCCAAAACACACCAAAAAACCCCAAACCAAAACCAAATGAAACAGAGGTTGGTATTCAGATCCTTGTGTGACTAGCTATTTTTGACTGTACTAACCTTTTTGGCACTTGTCCAAGTAAGGCTCCTTCTCCACCTCTATTACCAAAAAACACTGGGTTTGCCTATTAAAAAAACCATTGTTACCTTTTATTCAGTGGCACACATGCTGCTCCCTGTGTCACATCCCATATGCATTCCTTCTCCTTTTCTGGTAGACCCCAAAACTATTACAGACTATCAACACAGACACTGTGGAATTTTTGAAGCATGTAAGAGCACAATTTTGGCTCTATTGAAAAGCACACTATCAGACCATGCCAAATATTCAACATTACCATAATTAAAACACTCATAGTGGTACCCATTGCCTGGAGCACAGCACTGTGAAAATACTTACTGTATACAGTATCATCAGAGCTTGTGTCAGGTGTCTCACCTTGATGGGTTCTTTCTTCAGCACAAAAAGGCAACAAAGAGACATTTTCTCTCTCCAGATATAGTATCTGGAGTTCTAAAGAAAGTAATTTAACATGAATAATATTCAGACTTCACACACTGCTATCTTAAAAACTGAATTCTTTGGGCAAGTATGACAGAAAATCTTGGAGGTGACTCATATTGCCGTATCTCCTCTATTTGTTATATATTTTTCCAACCCCCAGTAATTCCTGTAACTATAAAAAGTTGCAGAAAAAGTACTCCATTATCTACCAAAGAACTCGAGCTAAAGGTATTAGTGCATACCTACTTGCTGACATTTGTGCTTCCAAGTAAGTGTGCAGTTTCCTTCAGGCTTCACAGTAAAACACACCAAAATATTAGATCTTCTAGAGATACAAGTTTCACAAAGAATAAATTATTTCAGGAACGTTTTTTCTTCTTCCAATACATGTTGCTTGTAATTCTGTTTGCCACATGCACTTAAGGTATGTTCACAATGACCAAAGTTCAGATATATTTAAATTAATCCATGGCAGAATTCATAAATGTATCAAACCCATAAACACGCAGTAAAATCTCATTAGGAGCTATTTTCCACTGTGTTAGTGTCAACAGATGATTTTAAATTAGGGTAGAACACTGCCTACTAATCAGAGCACAGAACATTTATTTTCATTGTACAGTATCATGACGGTGTATGATCTTTTCAAATGAACTTGTTCAGATTTTAAACTGAATACACAAATCGATGAAGGTCATGTATATAGACACAAGAACTGTCCTTAAAAGTTTCTTCTGACAGAAAAGTTCTTAAGAATGTGAAGCTACACACCTCAAATGACAGAGGCAGCAGTGAAGAATCCATTCACTGACCTCCTTACTAGCTCTCATTATGTGGTCAATAGATAATTAGGGGTTTGCTTTCTTTAATTAAACACACTTTCAAATGTGTTGTTACAGAATTCATGTGTAATATTTAAAGATAATTTTTAAGTCTTTTTAAAAAGATTGGTAAGTTAGAATACAATAAGCAGAACAATGCCCACAGTATTCTGGTGAACTTTTATTAAAAAGTTTTCTTACAGAAGTATGGAATTCTTTAGCAAAGTCAAGCCACCACCTGTTGCACAGCCTTCTTCACTGACACCATAAATTTGATATTTTTTGCTCCTCTAATGATCTGCACTATTGGCTGGTGAGTGCTCTGCTTATAAACGCAAATGCAGTTTTGACCACAAATGCAATTTTGAAGCAGCCAAGACAGCTTTACTAAAAAGGAAATCACCTTCTCTTCAACAAGACCAACTGCTTTTTAAACCTTTGCAGATGGATATGATTCCACACACAGTCATTAGATTGAGAAGCTTCTCAGGAAGAGAACCAAAAGTTGCTTAATGACACATTACAAGTACGATTTGTGATGCTCTGCATGCACTTCACTTCTTAAGACTTTCTGTGCTGCTTCCTTTCTCGAACACAATGGGCCCAGTGTCTGGTTCCCAGCTATGCTTGTATCTGCTGGATGTCATTACGCACTGAAGATTTATGTTCAAGTTCAAATCAAATGCAAGTTTCACGGTCTAAGTAGGGATGCCCACAAGCATATTGTTCTTTGGAGAACAACTCTCTGGCTCCATAGATATAACTTGGACAGAGTAGTTCTGTTCTTCCGCAGCCCACGCCCGATCCAAATCCACAAGCCCCATACACTGCTTTCCTAAAACGAGAGCAAAGGAGAACATGGAAACTAAAAATATAGAAACCATCAGAAACATGCACTTCAATATTCAATGTTAGGAAAACACATCAGTAAGTCATCTAAAAAATAAGTTCCAAATTTACTTTAAAAATTATCTTCATCTGGTTTGTTTCAAATAGACAATCATTAAAAGTTCTAAATCACATCTGTGACTTGTAACCCTCATTTAGCATTTCTTGAGAATTATTAACTCTCTATATGGAGAAATGTTACAGGCACAATTATTTTTAACTGTTCTAAAAGCTTACAGAAAAATCCATGCATTAATGTAAAAGATACAAAAGAAAAAAAATGCCTGGTTTACAGCTTAGCTCTCTGAATTGCCAAATTTCTACTCCCTTTATATCCATAACTGTTTTCCTCCTGCACATTCATCTAAAATCTGAAAATCTCTGCTTATTGAGTATCAATAAAAGACTAAAATACCAAACAGTGATGCAGTGTAATTGAGTTGAGACATATGAATGTAAATGCTGATAAACAAAAACACTAAATTACTAATGAAAACTAAATTTATCTCAGATTTACCTGCAAAAAAAATGGGAAGGACAAATTCCAGAGATTTTTCTGTTTAGAAGTTTGTATAATGATACAGCCATGACAAGCTGATGAGGGCATTTGTCTTTATACATTTACACCTTATAATTATTATGTTCTGAAATACAGAACTGATTTGTCAGATGGTATTTTCATCAGTTTGAAACTCTCTTGCAAGAAAGATTTAGCACTTTTGTGGAATGTTTTATCACTAACAGTCATACAGTCTCAAGTCACAAACAAGGCACAGTCCTGCTTCAGTCTCAAAAGCCTATGATCCTACCTCTTTTGGTCCTGACAGAACTGTATAGTTAAATATATTTGGGGTCCAAGATGCAGGGAGGAGACAGGAGTACTCATTCTGCTTATCATCAGGATACAATTCTGTCATTCCAAACTACCCTCTGGAACTGCCTTCCTCTCTTCCCTGAATATATAGAGTGTGAGTGCCTGTACCATGACAAGCCCTGACATGCAGCTGTGGTGCCTCTAGAAGTTTTGAGTAGGTGGCACAAATATGCTCCTCAACATCCTTGTATTCCAGATCAGCTGGTGCACACCACACTCTACAGTACTCAGTCCAATCTATTCTGTCTTTCCACAGTGAGCCAATGACCAGAAGTATTTTCTCCTTCTCAGCTGAATTCCTTATTTACATAGGAAATTCCCTAGTTTGACTTTACCAACATTGACATTTGGACTCTGTTTGGGTTCTGTTGGTGGCTTGAAATTTGAGAGGGGTAGTAATTGGGTAAGAGACAATTTAGAGATACAATAATAAGAATAGGCCTGAAAAAGAACTTTTCAACTGTATGGATTTTTATGTTGCAGGGAGAAATCACTAGTTTATTAGATCTCTGTAAATTACTACTTCTGGCACTATTCTTCTATATTTGTGGCTTCACAGAAAATCACCTGCTGCATTTGGTTGAACAAAAAAGGATGCACACACTCCTGCCACTGACAGCAGCAGCATCATCAACCAAAATGTACACATCAAGGTGCAGTTGGGAAAGCCACAGCTCCCCCAGTGCTCCCAGGAAGACTGTGAAGTACACAAAGCAGTTATGTGATCAGACAGAATAAATCAGGTGTGCTGTAGTGATGTTCACAAAACTATTCAGTATGTTTGCACTTAGGTCCCACTGCTGCATGTAGTGGATAAAGCACACGTGTCCAGTGAAAATGGGAAAGAGAACTTTGTTCACTCAAGAGAGAATTGCCATGTGTAGCAGAACTGGGCTCTGTATGCATATGTTTACATTCAGAGATACTACAGAAATTGGTGATAACTCCTTTGACAAATGTGTTGTTTCAGCCATAACAGACACAGACAGAATGCTGTACTTGAACACTTTAGGCCCTTACAGGTAATGAATCAAAATGATTTGTCACTTCACTGGAGCTGCATAAATTCCATGGCAATTACTAAAATACAGTTTACAATACCAGCCTAAAATATTCAAAAGTTTTGCCATTTGCACTAGAATAGAAACAGTCTTCCTCCACTTGTTCAGGAATATTTCATTAAATGAAATCTACACAGTTTTCTCAATACCTGATGATGCATTGCACAAAAGAAACAAACAAACAAGATCTTCAACTATTTACAAGTATCCCAACAATATTCCCATAAAACCAGTTTCAAAGCTGAAACAGAACACTGAAATGGGAATGATATTCACTGAAACAGATTCGTATTATATGGAACTTAAAGAAAAAAATATCATTTCTTTAAAACAGAGAAAGCAATGATGTAGGGAAAAGGAATAAGATTATAAGATTTCTGTTTGGTTTTTGTTCAGGGCAAAGCACATAAAAATTACATTTGTGGGGAAAAAAACTGATGTTTGAGACAGAGAACAGATGAAAGTCACAATCTTTCAAAAGCATTTTGGGTCTTTTTCCAATTTTCAGCAGGAATGTGGTGCTACACTGGTAACTGAACACTAATGTTTTCCAAATACTGTGATGATAGCAAAAGAGCCAACAAATTTGTTATAAGAAGAATTTGTATTCTTATCTATGTCTGTATTATGTTCTTTTTATGCAGTAAGAAAAACTTCGAATTCTTCAAATGAAGCTTTTTAAAAACTCTATGATTATTTGCTACTACTGCTTTAATATACTTTCTAAGTGTTTCATGTAAGCCAAGAATCCACAGTTATATCCTGAGAGTTCCTAGCCCCTTCTGCCTTTTCTGACCTGGAAGCTAGTTTATAGCTTCTATCAGAACATTAATACCAGACAGGAGCACATTATACCATTTTGTAAGTCAAAGAATACTAGAATACTCTGCATAATGAAGAAGCGGGTTTGCTTATTCCAAATATTTCAAGTGCTATGTATTCTGCTGTCCTTCTGACCAAAGCTAAACCAACCTCTGCAATTTAGCCTTATTGTTTCTATTAGATGTTTGCCCTTGTAAGAGAGTTATCACCAGTGATTACAAGAAGGACAAAGGGATCTGTGCTTTTAATAAAAAATACACTGGCAATAGCAGGACTTTACTGAACTTTACAAACACCTCATTCTTGCCAGAGAATGGTGGGAGAAGGGAGGGGAAGGAGGGAAGGAAAGTGAAGCAACTAAAGATCAGTAAAATGCAAACCCTCCGTCTCTTATTGATCATTCTGAAAGAAGTGTTTCCATACCATAGTGTAGAACAGCAAGACATGAAATGTGAAGAAACTCAGATTTTTCAAGAGTTGTGTGAAGACAGCAACTTAATGTCCTGTTCATGAAAGTACTACTTCTTCCCTTATGTATTACGGTAAAATCATTACAGAGCTAGTTTACACAACAACTGTAGAAATTCATACCAATTAGCCTGCGTTCAGGTGGAAGCTGAACAGCTGTCTGATCTGCAAATCTGCAAAGGGTCATGTGCTCCTAGAAAAAAGACGAAAAAGTAAATAAATTTGTTCCAGTCACATTTCCCTCTTCCAAATAAAGAAAGAAAAAATCTAATTAAATGGTTCAAAGTATCATGCTGAACACTATTTTTCTAGGAAAATTATCTGTGTACAAATCCCAGGTTTGATACTGCTTTGGTTTATTAGTATATCTGTAAATCAAGTGTTTGTAGCCACGACCACATAGCTACCAATGAGCATTTGATTCTTGCGAAATTTTCTCCAATTCTCAGCAGCAGCTGAATTAGATGCAATGTATACAAGATAGCATTCTTCAAAGACATTCTGTAGAATAATTTTGCCTTCAATTACTGATGAGCAACACACTCTTCTTTTAGCATGTGGCAGCATCTCTGCATCAATAACAGCCAAGACAAAATACTTGAATAGGTGATTTGGTCTACTGCACGTGTCTCCCAAGCAGTGATTTTTAATTCCCAGAAGAATCAATTGCCTTGTGGGTCAAACTTCCTAGGCTCTGCCAAATACATCTGTTCAGGATCAATGCAAAACATCCTTAAGGCAATATTGATCCTGAAGGCAAAAAATACCTGGCTGTGAACAAGAAATTTTCCTACATCAAAATGAGCACAATTCACTTTCAAACTATCCCTGTTCTAGTTAAACTAGAGCCCAAGTTGTGACTACATCATTTCCCCTGACACAGTCATTAAGTTGCCACAATCCCTGTTGGCAGAAAGAAGAAGAAAGCACTTACAAAATAACAAAGATAATAATCAATACCTGCCCAAACTTTGTTCGTGCATAAACAGTTAACTTGCTTACTAGAACACCCACACCTTCAATTCCTATTAAGTTTTCGAAGCTGTATGTGCAAAGTTATTCAGTTTTACTTTCCAATTCTCCTACAGGGAGAGTGTCTGACAAATGAAGTCTCAAAATGTATCATGGTAGAAATCTACAGCTATCATAACCTTATTCCTTGCAGATATAAACTAATGAATTACAGTAAATGTTCTCATCAAAAAAGTTTTGGAATTGCCAGACTTCTGGATGTCTTTTTAGATCTCACTAAAATGAAAGATAAAAGAATCTCAAATGGGAACTGGAGGGAGGTGACACAGACAATGTCTGGCTAACACATGGCAGCTTTGGCTACTAGCCAATAACCTGTAACAATTTATTAATATCAAACATAAAAATGCATATAGCTAGCTGTATAACAAAAGTTATTTATAACTAGGATTATTTGAGGCACCAACCAGCCTAGACCGTCTGTACAGAATCATACGTTATTAAGAGCAGCAATATTTATTAACCTTGTCCTCAGCCTCTGTGCCCTTCTGCAACACAAATAATAAAATGCTGGAATTTCTATAGTGTTGATAATCCCTGTCTTTTAAACCTCCATGGATTAACAGATTAAGAAGAAAATTAACCGAGTTTTAATGAGGTTATACACACCATCCTAACCTAGGCATCTTGGCTTTGTAATTGCCACCATTTCCCTCTGTCTTGTCAAAAGGTCTGCTTTTAATATGTTTTAATAAAAGTAAATAAACTTTTTTCTGAAGTGAAACCTGAGTTCTTCATGTTTATGTGTTAGAAACATACAAATGTGTTGAAAGAACGTTAATCAAGGGAAAAAGTAATGGCAGGTCCAAATTCCCTGTGCCACTTTTATAATCTCCATCTATGAATATTTATTTCCACGTATAAACTGTACATAAACCAGACTGTCATGAAGATAAGATTAGTGTACCACCAGATAACTGAACTTCCCTATATAAGATGGCTGGAAATTTTATGTATTTTTAAAATGGCCTCTTACTTGAGGATTAAAAAGGACAATCTGCTACACAGAGCGTCTTTGCTATGGCTCATGTCCCAGAAATCATCTGGGTATCAGAAATAACGTGTATCTCATATTTCTGTTACAAATTACTATTCTGAATCTCCAAATTTCATTTCTGTATTGCAAACATCAAGATCCTTGTTTAGGATTTGACACTTAAACCTAGTGAAGTTCCTTATATAGCCTCGCTACTCTCAAATGTCAACATTTTCTTTCCATGCCACATTAAGTGGATCTAATATTAACGCTTCTGGTTGCTCATCGTTAACTAGTTTAAATGCACTAGACAAAGCTTAATAGATCAGTACCCGTGGTCTGCTGTCCACCTCTCTGCTCTTGTTCTTTTTCACTCCCCTGTTACCTGTTATCTTCATTCTGTCAGATCTGCATGCCTCATTGATTCTTCCTCCCATTTTTCTCTCCAACTACCTGCACACAGACGCTGGCTCCACAGGGTCAAAACACATTTGAGTATTTTTGAAACAATTTTAAGTAACATTTTAAAACAATACTGTAATAAAATTCTTGCTGATAAGTATAAGGTCTTCCTACTCACTATGTCCAATCTTCCAGACATAAATTGGATGGCGAAATCTAACATTTATCAGAAAACTTTATAAAACCAGTAATTTTACCTAAAAAGTGATCAGACATTTCCATAGTATATACAATTGTACTTAAGACCTGAATAAATAGGTATCCTGTAATTAACTGACACATGTTGAAGTATCTTAGGAATGGCTCACATATACATAGTGATAAAAAAAGTTCTTTTGTGGGAAACCTACTTAATTTTATTGAAGAAAAAAGCTTTAAAAAATGGATGGTGGAGAGAATGCAACACAATGACATCTGCACTACTAATGAACATTTCACGTAACACATGCTCCTCCTTGCAATTACAATATAACAACTTTTATTTGGGAAGAGATCCAGTGAAATGCAGAAACTGCACATAATCCTCTCCCCACCACCACCTTTTACATACCTTATAGGACAAAATTTCTTTGAACTGATGACTGAAAAAAAAAATAGACCAATTTAATTAACATCTAAAAAAGCAGAAGTGGAAAACAGAAGCAATCATTACATACTTGAACACATTTTAAACAAAACAAATATCTGTATCCTACAGAGACGCATTAAAAAAAAAACCCAAAAACCATTACTGTTCCAGTTCATTAGAAACAGAAAAGCATATTTGGCGTTGTCTTTTCTTTTTTCTCCCCTCCTGCTGTATTATTCAGAAAAGAAAAAAATCTCTCTTTAAATTATTATAAATGCTAATACAGATTTACTGGCGTTTCCACATTGTCACATAAATACTTTACATTAACGTACACAATCTCTAGACATGCATATATTTTGTTTGTATCATAAAAGGTGCCTCTACAAGAGAGCTGAGTAGGACACAGGCAATATGGGAACATGGGCAGGCTATTAAGTGTTATGATCATATCAAATAAGGAAAGAAGAGAAAACAAACCCTAAAATCTAGCTCAAGTGAAGGTTGATAGTTTTCTACATAGGCTTACAATATTAGATTTCAAATTTAGGAAACAAACCCAGAATTTACATTCTCACAGCACCTACAGCAACGAAAATTTTCTAACATAGTGAGCACTTCCAGCCTTCATGATCTAAAAAACGTAACTGGACAAAAGCTGAACAGTTTTATTGCATCTTCTTTATCAATACTTACTTGTTTTACTGTGTCAAAAGAGAAAACAAAAAGGGGCACACATAAAGAGACAGAAGAATCTAACTAACTAAGAAAACAGTGTTAAGTGCAAAGTTTATCAAACTGGCAAATTACAACATTTACTCTCTGTGCACACTTACATAAAATATGCAAAATATTTAACATGGGTGCATAAGAGTTTTTGTTTTGTTTTGTTTTGTTTTTTTACATTTGTTGAGCCCTTGTAAGATAATAAGTCTCAGTTTCTTGTTCTGGGGAAACCACAAAAACCTCTTCCCCCATCTAGCTCCACCTCAGAAAGCTGCTTGTGTGTTATCTTCTCCCACTTTATGCTTACCGTTTAATTTTTCTTTATATCAAAGGCATTAAAATTCTCAAGCCTAAGATACGTAAGTATCTTCAACATGGCAGATTTCAAGATGACAACATGTCCATTGAAAAAGTATTAAAACTATGAACTGAAATACAGAAGAGCTTGCCTACTTGGGAATAAATCAGTAGAGTTTCACAAGCAGTAAAGTGTGGTATAAAGCAGATCCACTTCTTTAAGCTGATTGCTAACATCTTTCTCCAACAGTAAAATGCCAATTCCCCTTCTTACAGTAATTTTCATGAGTTTTATATTAACTTTGTTATTTCAAGGTAAAAGGTCTGCATATTACATAGATTCCCACATACTGCATTTACTATGTTGATAGTAAAAAGTCTTCTGAACTATGAATAGATAAATCCAGAAAAGATAACCCAGGAATTACCAATCTGTCTCACTTTCAGGATGGGTTTGCAAACAGAAACAGGAGGAAACAGCTGCATTATCACTTACATTGCCTAGATACTTGCAATGATCTTCAGTTGATTAATTCTATACCCTTTTAGTATTTTCTTCCTTTGTTAAAGCTAATATTTTAAAGTTTATCTTGTTAGCTTTAGTTTACCTTCGTGGGTATTGAAACTTCACTGTGTTTTGAATGAAGCCATAACAACAAGGGGAGATGACAAAGGCTGCCTGTGCCTTGATGCAGTGCTCGATCACCATGTCAGTTGCCACGCCACACGCATGCAGAGCCACCTACAGTGTTAAAAACAAAAAATGAAGAAACAAGCAAATTCTTTATAGTGACATTCTAAATTCAGTCCTCCTACAGTAGTTCTTTTTGTTGATTGTTACTTAAATATATGAGGCAGTTTTGGCAATGAAAGCTGTTATGACAAAGGCCCAATCATCAATTCCTCAGTTTTTCATTTCTCTCCTTCATATCTATGCTGAGGTATATTTATGGCCTATTCCATTAACAAGGGAACCATCGACACTGAACAAGAGTCACTCACCAAAAGCACTCAAAAAATAGGTGTAATGCATTATGATATCAAATAAATAAAAAACAAATCTCCAGAAAACTATTAAAGAGAAACTACTGTCGTGATAAGTCAAAAGTTTTTGTTAAGCAAAAACTATTAAGAAATACAAAGAACTCTCTCAAAACTGGATTTCTACTTAGCAGCAAGAGAAGTAACAGATACATCTGACGGTCACATTTAAAGGACAACATTTACACATAGATTTTGATCATCTGAATGTAAGGTATTGAGTAAAAACTTTAGAAACTAAAAATCAGGCAGGATGAAGCATCAAATACAACTTGTCCTCCCTTTCTTTTTCTTTCTTATACTTTATTTCTTTTTCTTAGTGATGGGCTCTCAAACTAAAACTAGAATGCCATTCAGTCACAACAACTACCTATAAACACTGACGCATGTTTGGGCAACGCAAAGATTGCACCCAAATTCTTCCTGCCCTCCTACAGAAAGGCAAATTCTCGCTGTACTCAGTGTGTTGCAAGGAAAGGCAAGCAGCAGTCTCCTGTCAGTATCTGTGCTACCAACAGGACCAGGTGAAATGGAGGCATTATTTTCTCTGCCTTCAATGTACTCAGTAGCTCAAAGAGCAGGCCTGGCTGCTCTCTGTTTTCATTAAACTAGGGACATAATGCAGTGGTGTGGATTTGTAAATCTGCATTGTGTTCTGTGTTCACTGTAAATTTAGAAAAAAGGTTTAAAGCTGCAAAGATCAGATTTCAGGATTCAAAGTTGTTTTTCCAGGTACAGCAATTGGAAGATAAAAACTTTGCTCTAAGATACAGATCAAAACAAAGTCTTTTTTGTTTGCAGACTGCTTGATGTAAGCTCAGCTGAGCAGACCATTAATCAACTGAACTGTAACTGCATACAGATGGTAACAAATATTCTTGTCTCAAGCAGAACTTTACAGCATTAGTAAGAAAATAATTTCACAACAAAAGTTTTCTGTTCATATAAATTTAACAACAAAAATAAAACTCGTTTAATGTCAGAAATAGATTCTTAATATCACAGCTATTAGGTTATCACAGAATGTAATTACAGTACTTGGCCATCTATCCAAGAAGAAAACAAAGACCTCTGCTTTGCTTTACTCGCACGTTTGGAAAAGAGACCTTAAAACAGCAGCAAATAAAACCAGTAGCTTTGCTGAGCCTCTGTGAACTTTTAGACCAACTGACTACTTCTTTGGGTTTCTCTGAATCAATTTAGATAGGTGAAAAATCACAAATAAAATCCAAGACAAAGCTTTCTCGGGATATCCTAACAAATTGAACAACTTATCTGAAATAAAATAAAGTGAGGCCTAATGCTGATTATGTATTTGGTTCACAAATCTATACATCTGTAGACAGATGGAAACAAAGTTGACTCTGAAGAGAGCAACAGAGCTAGGCTAATGCAGTGTGAGACCATAGCCCTGTCTTACATCTCTGGAACTGCAACTCCCAGAACAACCCAGTGCACACAGAAGTGAAGGCAAAAGAATGTTTCATGAAATCTAAGGTTCACTTTAGTGATCTTAAAAAGGAAAGAACTCAACATGTTCAAAAAAATATATCCCCCCCACCAAACTTTAAACTTTCCAATTTGTTCTCACAAATTAGCTGAGATCCTGTGAGTACTATGGAAGTATTAAAACCAAGTAAGATCTCACAGACTCCTCTGGGTGTCAGCATGTAAATGCGCACAGCATGCAAGTATTTGGTAGCCTTCACCTTTAGACTGAAATCCTTTATTGTGATTGATGGCTGTACTACAACATATAATAGCGCAATGTACCAGTTCGTTTGGCAGTCCAACAGGTTGTTTCAGAACTTTGATCTTCATTACCCTAACGATTCATAAGGGCACAAATGTTATGTGCAGCAAAAACGAAGTGGTCGACACCTTTTTTTTAAAACCTACTTTTGAGTTCCTGGCAGACAACAAACAAGAAAACAGCCAAGTAATGCAAAGTTGATGTCAAAGTAACAGGATACAAACATTACATCTTTCTTCACTCATAATATGGGAGCAATGCTAATTCGCAACAGATAAAAAATGTACAACTAACTTAATACACATTAATACAACAAGGGTACTTCTCATAGTGTCAAAAAAACCTGTCTGTTAAGGACATACAGAATTTTCTTATCTCAGATATTCTAGTTGTTTCAAGAACAATTTATCAGACACTGAAGTTTTGAAGTGGAAAAATTATACTCACTTACCCCAATATTAAAAGTCCCATTAAAATAGTCCAAATTTGCTTGAATGAACCAAACATTGTTTAAACCTAATTCATCACTTCTGTCCTTAGCACGGATCAGAGACAGCTCCTTATTTTCTATGAGCACGACCTAGATTAAATACACAGGAGAAAGTAAGGCAAAATAACACTGAGAAATCAAAGTACATGACCAACAAGCATAAAACTTTGTAGTTAAGTTGAGAAAACCTCAAAACTACTTGTGGCAGAGCTCAAGATCTCCAAAATGATCAGCAGGACACCCAGCTATGGAAAACATTTAATCATTGCAC